CACACACACACACACACAGAGAGAGAGAGAGAATGAACACCAAGCAGGAGAAGAAGAGGAAAGAAAGAAAGCAAAGATGGAAAAAATATCTCTTCGTTTCCTCTCAGGGTCAAACGAATTTTCTTCTTGTGTCATGAGAGGAGGGACAAGAGAATGCGCTCGGTTCCATCGAGTGCCACTTGTGTGCCTGCCGTTGCCTCGGTGTGTCTATGCGGCTGTGGGTCTGCATGGGGGTCCACCGCTGGTCATGTCCATGCTGCTGCTCTGAACTCTTTGTACGCTGTTGCCGTCTCTTCCTTCCTTCCTTTCTTTTTCTTGATTATTGCTGTATTGGTGCATGCCAGGAGACATTTTCTTTTCTAAAAGAAGCAGCGCTCAGCATATATGCACATTTTCAGGCCTCAACACGCCTCTACTTATTTCGAGATGAGGCTGGTGCCGAAGCAGTCCGNGAAGCAGCGCTCAGCATATATGCACATTTTCAGGCCTCAACACGCCTCTACTTATTTCGAGATGAGGCTGGTGCCGAAGCAGTCCGTAGAGTTGCTGACATCAGCAGAGGTCGCTGCCAAGCGGCGCGCACTACTGGCGGCTCCACGCTGCCCGTGGCCGCTGGACGGCGACGCACTACAGCTGTTCTTCTCTGGCGAGCGCGACAGCACGCAGCCCGGCACCACGACGACCAGCGAAACACCGCCTACAGCACCGCCGTCCCAGCGCGAGCGGGAGTATGTGCGGGTCGACGACACGACGGACGACGAAAATCCGCCGGTGCAGAGCCGGCCGAAGAGTCAGATGCCGGCGGCGAAGAAGGCCCCACGAAAGAAGAGCACCTCTGCAAAAACGACCGCGGGTGTCAAGCGTAGGCGGACCATTGAGGACTTTTTGACGCGCCGATAACAGCCGTGGCTGCGCCCATCTCTTTCTCTCTCTATGGGTTTCTGGACTAAAGCAGCTTCAATGCAAACGGCCGAACCTAAAAGACAAGCAAAACACCAACAAGGCTAAGATTCCATGAGCCTACGATTGCTGGTGGCATTCACGACTGTACAATACATTAAGAAGTCTCTCTTCAAGCAGCATTTGGAGGATCCGTCTATTTGCTGCTTCAATTCTTCACTTGCTGCACCTGTTGGGAAGTCGCTTCAAGTCCTTTTGCGGCACTGTTTTCATCGGCGCTCCACTCTCTCTTTCTTTCTCTCTGTGCGTGTACGTGTCTTCATCTCACCTGTGCGACACAACAAGGACAGAAAGCGAAGGAATTGACACGCCTCCTTCTACCAAGGAAGAAACGAACAGCAACAGGCAGCAAAAGCGGATACCAAAACAACAACAACAACAACAACTAAAGAGCGATGCCTTCCTTTAATTTCCATCCCGGGTTCGCTGGCCACGGCATGCGCTGCAACCCGTGGCAACCGACGCAGTACGTCCTCACAGCGGCGGAGCACTTCGGCGTGGCGGGGACCGGCAAGGTGTACGTCGTCAACACCGCCCCGGGGTTCCAGCCGGGGTCACCGGTGACGCTAGTCGGCTGCTGGGGCACAAGTGACGGTGCTTTCGATGCCTGCTTCAGCGAGGTAGACCAGAATATCCTCGCAGTGGCGTGCGGCGATGGCGTGAAGCTGTACAACGTCCAGCAGTCCATGAATCGAGATGGTGTGCCGCCGCTAGCGCACATCGTCGAGCACCAGGCGGAGGTGGCGGGGGTGACGTGGTGCCGCGACCGGTTCCTCTCCTGCAGCTGGGACGGCTCGGTGAAGATGTACAACGCGGCCAACCCGCAGGTGTCGGCCATGACGTTCCACGAACACCTGAAGGAGGTGTACGAGGTGTCGTGCGCCGCCAGCAACCCCGCGTCGTTTCTATCGTGCTCCGGCGACGGCACGTGGAAGCTGTGGGACGCTCGGGCGCCGCGCTCGGTGCTGACGCAGGTGGGGCACAACCACCAGATCATCCTCAGCATCGACTGGAACAAATACGATGCCAGCATCTTCGCCAGCGGCGGCGTCGACCGCACGGTGCGGCTGTGGGACCTGCGCA